AACAATTGAGAATCTAAGGTTTTGGAGGGGACCAAACAAACCTAATATGTATCCAGATCTCAATCCAAAGGTTGGCAAGGTAGAAACCAAATCCTAGTTCTCTCATTTCTTGTTTTCCCTCAATTTAACAAAGCAGTTTATTTCCCACATACAACAATTCTCTTCCAAAACCCACAATTTCCTAGCTATTATAGATTTTTTTTTTCCAAGTATTTCCACAAACAACTGTCTAAGAAAACAAGAATAGAAGAAACCCAAGAAACCAATCAACCTAAATCAGTATGTGGAAACAAAATCAGGCCTTTCCTCTTCGATGGTAGCAATGAGGGGAGAGAGAGAGAGAGGGAAAAAGAGAGGAGGTTGAGGGTCTTGATCGGAGTTGCCACTACTGTCGCCTCGTCGTCCGATCGTGTGTATCCATTTTATCTCTCTGTTTATGAGGTGCTTGGGGTTGTGCTTGTGGTCTCTCGAACTGAGAGAGAAAAGAAAAGTGGCATAAAGGCCAAAGATTTTTTTTTTTAAATTTTTAAAAAAGGGAAAAAACAACGTCCTTTTTGAAGTATCGTGAGGAGCCTCGAAAAGAAGCCTAATAGAGGATCCGAACTTGGGTTTATCCTCCTTTGTAATATTTATGATTGGTTGATGATATTACGTATCAATGATTACATTGTATCGTCGTTATACTAAAATTTTAGCCATGATATTAGAAGAAAGAGACTAAAGAAGAGAGGGAGAAATAGAAAGGGTATTCTTCACAAAGGAAGAGACTTGAAAGTCAAGACATTGTCGAAGAAGGGGGGCGTTTGCATGGCGAAACCAACAAACACGCGTCACATAGGATAGTGAAACAGAGCCATGGGACATGAAAGAGGCATTCACGTAGGGTCAACTATGACATTTTTGGTATTTAAAGCGGACTTTTGATATGTTACCTTTCATACATTTAAAATAAAAATTATGATAAAAAAATTACGTATTCACTTTTTATTTATTTATTTTTACAGTTCTTACAAAAATGTTATATATAATGATTAAAATTTACTTAAATATATAACAAAGTTTATAAGAAGAAAAATATCAAAATATTCCGAACTCAAGTACTAGATAAAAAATAAATAAATTATAACAAAATATCAGTTGAACATTACCATTCCCACATTTTAAAATACAAAATTGTTAATCAGGATCTTTACTTAACTAATCATATTATATACACAAATCATACATTTGAGAAATTACTTTCCATTAATTTCAGATGCGATTTATTTATTTATTATTGTATTATTATTATTATTATTATTTTTGAGCTAGCGTAATATCTATAAAAAAAAAAATCTGAGCTCATTTTTTCACTCATTTTTTTTGAGAGATCCAAAGCGGTGGCTTTGCTGGTTTTGGGCAAAGTCGGGCCTGCATTAATGATTGATCCGATGCTTCTCTCTTTTTGAGAGATCCAAAGCGGTGGCTTTGCTGGTTTTGGGCAAAGTCGGGCCTGCATTAATGATTGATCCGATGCTTCTCTCTGCAGCACTTTGCAAGATCGATGCCACTGGAAGATGGGTTTGGATTTGACTGAGGATTTGGGATTGGTCCGATTGAGGGTTTTTGTTTACAGGTTGTTGTCTCCTCGCCTATGTGTTTATCATTGTTTTTAGTTGCATAATTTTATCAACATCATAATTCTTCAATTAAGTTTTCGTATTTTAATCTGTTGAACTTTTCTTCTTCTTCTTTCTTTTGGTACATTCTTATCATAAGTCCTCTCTCATTCGTTGGTGAGTGAATAATCACAGAAAGTTCATTGATCTGTTTGCATTTGTTGATACTCTCAACATTCTTCCACATGCATGCTACTGCTCATGTAATCCCAATTTATTTATATTATTCTTGTTGCTTTTCTTTGGTCTCTCGTGCATTCTGTTACTTGCTTAGACTATTTGAATAAAAATTGCTCAAATATGTAAAAATAACTGGTGGTTTTGGTTAGTCTTTCATGTATTATTTATTGGATTGGACTTCTCTCAAATTGAGAATTTAATTTGAGAGAGCATTTGAGTTTAGTGTGCCCATTGTGAGCATAATATTGATGATTTGAACCGTTCACTTTTTAAAATTCATGGAGAAGAATAAACACGTAAAAAATCAAGATGATTGGACTTTGGAAGATATATTTTTGATTCACATTTGATTTAAAAAAAATAGACGACAAATGTAATTTCAAGAATAGCTATTTATTTTTTTAAGATAAATGTGATTCAAATATATAACTACCGAAATCTAATTATCTTGAATTTTTACATGTTTATTATTCTCAACGAATCCTAAAATGTGAATGGTTCAAATCACCAAGATTAGACTCACAATGACCCAAATGCTCTCTTAAATTAAATTTCTAACTTGAAAAAAGCCAAACTCTTTTTTATTTGTGTTAGATATGGGTGTTGTGGGGTTGTTTGATTTGGTGATTATTTCTTTTTTATTTTTTGTTTATTTATTTATTTTTGCTGCAGAACAATTGTATGATAGAAGTCCCAAGAGTGTGTTGTGTCTCTTATGATTCCAACGGCTTACATTTTATAGTATATGAATAAATATGTAAAAAATCAAATTTGTGTTGATAGTTTGATTAATTAGATTTTTTGTACATATATTTTATTCAATATATTCTAAAAAATGAATCGTTTGGATCATCTAAATGGATTTCCTAGAGTGCACAACAACCATCCCAAACTCTATGTGGCCTATTATATTTTTGAGTTATGTATACATCATTCATGATAAAAATTTAATTTATTCAATAATTAGATGTGATCATATTTGTTTTTGTTTGTTTTAATTTTATTTTAAAAGACACATCAAGTATACCTTCAAGAAAAAACTATAAAGAAGATACAATTAAATTATATGATCTTCGTTGAGCACATGTACGCATAAAGTTAAAAGACAACAACAAAAACGATTTCTTGGACAGTGGGTGTTTGGGGTTTGATTTCTGATAATTATTTTGTTGGTTTTTTTGGGCTTCTTTTTTTTTTTTTTTTCTCTACTATGTTGTTGTTGTCGTTGTTAATCATGAACAAATCTGTTGGATCTAATTTTTTTTTTTTTTTGATATAATGTTTTCAAAAATAACACAATATATATATATATTTTTGGTTTGTTTAAAGTTGCCCCCAAACACTCATTTAAGATAATAGTTGCATAGTTCCAGTATGGGCTTTGGCCGGCCTAACATGATTTTTGACTGGCCTAGCTAGGTCTTTGACCAGTGGTAGACGTAGCATTGGCGTGAGCCAAGCAGACATTGCGTGACTCCGTTGATTGGCTTTTGCCTGGTTGAACTAGTTAAAGTTAGCAAGACTTAGTCGATGTAGTTATGTAAACGGTATGCAACCGGGGAGATAGTTTGCTTGGTCTGGTTGCCAGTTTTATTGGAATGCTTCACTTGGATTTGTGTTGTTAGGGTGCTAAAAGATAGGCATTATCATTTTGGAAGTTACTCCTAGTAGGATTCTAGGAAGATGAATTAGAGTCCTACTAAGATTCTATCATGTGGAACCATTACAATAACTTACATTTTTGGCAACCAAATTTATCGAGTAAAAGGAATTTAATCACTAAAAGTTAACTTTTTGGCAACTAAAAAATGCATTAGTCAGTGTTTGTTTAGGTTGTAGCTACTATTTTTTTTAGTCGAGATATATTACTTATTGACGACTAAAAATTTTGTAGCTGAATATGCCACTTTTTGGTGACTAAAAAAATATTAGTCGGCGTAAGTCTAGATTTTAGGCTATTGGGGTTTTAGTCGTCATATACTAATTATTACCGACAAAAAAAAGTTTAGTCGCCAAATAACAGCCATATTTTTATTGTTACTCTTTGGCTACAAAAGAAATTAGTTGGCAAATATTCACTTTTGGGGACGAAAATAAATTTAGCCGTGGTTTACTCAATTTTTCTGACAAAAAAAAAAATTAGTCGCCAAATTACAAGTTTTGGTGACTAATATTTTAGTAGCTAGAACTTAAGAGTTGGCCACAAAATTTTTAGTCATTATATATTACTATTTCCTGACAAATAACTAGTTTGGTCACTTAGGTTATGCTTGATTCACAAGATTAATAGTGAAGTATTAATAATTTTATTAAATTAGTGTGACATTCACTATCCAATTAGATTAATATCCATTGAATTAATAATCCCACCCCTACCCCATTACTAATAATCCTACAAATTTGTTGGATTAATTATCTATTGGATTAATAATCCTAAACCAAAGTGTTCAAAGAATTATATCCATTGGAATTAATAATCCACCCCTACCCCTATACTAAGATTAATTATCTATTATGATTAATAATTCCTAAAACTAATTAAGCCCACGGAGTAATAATCCCAATCCATCCATTAATCCACCCAAAGTATAATTCATTTTCCTCTAAAATGAATTAATATTGACCGCCCTGATTCTTTGTTTAGATATCCAATTGTTCTCTCTCACATCCAGATATCTTCTGTGACCACAAACCTCACCCCACCTTACCTCAGCGCCAGACCACTGTCGCTCGCCATCGCCACCTCCACCGCCGCAAATCACCCACCCGGCACCATCGCATCCTCACAGGTTCTCTTTTGCTCTCTCTGGTCTCGGTCTGTCTCTCCTGTCTCTCTCTCTCTCTGTCTCTCGCTCTCTCGCCTCAGTGTCTCTTCTCTCTTCTCTCTCTCTCTCCCACTTTCTCTAATTTCCGCTTTCTGAATCTTGCCTCTCCGGGGTTTTTATGATTTCTTCAGTTTAATTTCGTGTTGATTTCGAAAATGGGTTTGGTTGAAGTGTTTGATTTCTAAAGTTTTTTGGGTTTGATGTCCCTAAATGGTTTGATGTTAGTGGTTTCATACATTTTCCCCACTTTTTCCTGTCTCTCTCATTAGTTTGAAAGCCCTAATTCATTGATTGTGTATGTATTCAAAGCCCTAATTCCATTGATGTTGTAGTTCAGGCGAATTGCTTCGTCTTGGAGGGAGGAAGTTTGGGATTTTTAATCATTAAATGGATTATACCATTATGCTTCTCAAATATTTTACCTTTATGCCTTCCCTTTTGGTGGTGGTGAGTGTATACTGAATATCCTACAAGTTAGGGATAGCTATTGAGTGTGGCATTCCATTCATTTCTGTTGTTGTCCCAAGTATTTTACACTAATCAATATCTATAATGTTCTTTATTTGTATTTCTGCAAAATTGTGGAATTTCTTATCTATAAAACTTTGCTTGCACACAAGTGCCTTTAAAGTTAGTGGTTTCCTGCTACTTTAATGGGTGAGGAAACAGATACTTTAGTGGTGGAAGAACACATACAATTGTCAGAATTTGGCGGGTTAACCTTGCCACATTTCACTTATATATGAATTTCCTACTACACTAGTTCAAGGCATTGGCTTGGATGGCTTGGATCTACTAGATTGGCGGCTAAGTCATATGATAATAAAAGCAATATTTTCCATGGCCCAAATCTTTGAAGCCCAACTTGATGCAAAATCTCTGTATTTTGGATCTTGTAATGGAGATTGCATTGAAGTGAAGAAACTTCAAAATAAATTTTGGAAGAGCTTTGCTGTTATATCCTCACTGCGCCCCGAAAGAGTTAACAAGTAAATTTCTCTCTTATTGATAAAAATGTAGAGCGCCTTTTTTTTTTTTTTTTTTTTTTGGTGGTGGTGGGTAAGCTTGAACTTATTAACATCAAGTTTTTCTCTCTTCCTTCTTCATTTCTCTCTCATACTTTCCCGTGTATTAGTTGTGCTCCAAGCACTTTAGAGTGTAGCACATTCCCCTAATCTTTTTTCTTTCTTCTCCTTCTCCTCTTTTTTAACTTTTCCTTCTTAAATAATATAATTACTTTGCTATTTTTTTTTCTCTTTGAAAAAAAATATATTTAAGAACCTTATAGCAACCAAATAAGTTTAATATTAGAGCAGTAAAATTTTTGATTTGTGAATTGACATAGTGAGCTATAGTTTGTTTCAAATCAACAAGACAATGTATATATTTTTTCAATCTCATGAACCTTGAATTGTGATATTGAGTTCATTGCATATTTATTAATGAGCTCAATTTTTGTGTTGAGCTTTTTTTGACTTTGTGTATTTTTTGTACAATGGTTGCGCTCCTTTTGGAGCTCTTTTTCCTGTACAATACTACTACTATAAAAAATAAATAAAAACAAATAGTCACACCTCCTTGTTCTTTATTAGACACAGAATTCTTACCCAAAAAAAGGGAAAAACTATTTGACAATAAAAATCTTTAGTTGAATTGAAGCACCTCTGTTATGGCTTGGCCTTATAAAAAGCAAACAATGAAGACAACCAGCTGGATTTTGTTAAACGAAGTTTTTGTTAGTTCTTTGATCACTCATTATTGTTACAAGCTTTCTAAAAATTTATTTGCTAGCAGCTATAGTGTGTTGAAGAAATTTTGTTGATGCTGTCTTCCCATTATTTTTTCAAGCCAGGATATCTAGTATGGTCACCAATCTATTGCTTTGTCAAATTTATTTATTTATTTATTTATTTTTGTTGCTGAAACTTCCATCCTATTGCATTTCCAATAAATAATACACACTAAAACGTCATAACATATTAAAAGGCAGTAACTCTGTTGATTTAAAAATATATATGTATATATAATAAACTCAATTATCTAAACAACGTGGTTTTACGGCTCACAACCCTCTTGCAGGGTTCAAATAGTCATCCTACTATTTGGTAAGAAGAATTTAATTCATATGATACTAAAAGTTCTACAAAAATAAGATGATATTGACATTGTTGTTTTGAAGAACCTAGAATTGTTTTGACAAGTTCCTATTCAAATCTGTTAGAAGGTTGAATTCAAGCCAATAAGATACTTCATTAAGCAATGCTAAGGTCTGAGTTTATTCACCCAAAAAAAAAAAGGGTCTGAGTTCTCACTTTCATGTTAATATACTGCTGCTGCCCGTGATACTTCTGCTGCCAATAGGTTATACTTCATTAAGCAATACTTCTGACAATTCTTCATTTGCATACCCAGTTCAAAGTTTGGGGTAGTGTCAAGTTCAACATGTTTTGTAGGACCCTAATTACACTGAGAATCAATTATCATCTTGGTACTTGAAAGATTTTACCATAAGAATCATAATATTGTTGGTTATTAGAAAATGGTTTACGTATATCACTTACAATATATGTTGATAATGGGTTTTGTTTATATTGCTTTTGTTTCCAGACTTTGAATAGGTTTTGATGCCTAATATTAGGAGGCTTAGCAGCAGAGCACCTGGTGTTTGGATACTCTGAAGGACTTCATTCTGATGTGGAAAAGGTAAGCATATGTTTTGTTTGAAATATTCAATTCTCCTGCATTTTGATTAGGATTAATAAATAGCAGTTTATGAATTATGACAAAGTTGAATAGAGTACTTAAATGGTTGGGGTTTCACATAGAATGAAGCTGATTCTCAAGTAAAATGGGCTGCTATTAATACTCTATCTTAATATTAGTTCGTCATCAGGAAGCTTGATCCAGAGAACACATTACCTTTTGATTCTACCAAACTATTTGGAATTGTTGTCTAGAATTTTGTTAACAATATCAAAGAAAAATCTTTCAAAAAACCTTCAAGTACTGGAGCTGGAAACTTACATCAGATTGTGTAAATTTTATGAAACCTAACAAGATTACTAATGCAATTCAATTTCCTTCCAACCTGTTTTCAGACTAGGAACTACATACATTCATTTAAGTTCATTGAAAAATAAATAAAAAATAATCCAACTTAATTTTATAATTGCGTTTGGGGGGCGAAATGCAAAATAGTACCCGAACCACTATATGGATGTCATGGGCAGCTTCCTACTGACAAATAGGACCTGTGGCTATAGACGGCATGCAATTAGCACGAGTTAGAGCCGAAAATGCCTTAACTTAGTTGAAAAAGGGCGTTCGGGGGCCGAAAATGCAAAACAGCCCCCGAACCATTGTATGGATGTCATGGCTAGCTTCCTCATGACAAACAGGACCTGTGGCCACAGACGACATCTAATTACCACACGTAGGTTGGGAGTTGGAGCCGAAAACGCTTTAAACTTGGTCAAAACGGGGCATTCGTGGGGCGAAAATGCAAAACAGTTCTCGAACCACTGTATGGATGTTACAACTAGCTTCCTTGTGACAAATAGGACCTATGGCAATTGACGACATCTAATTAGCACTCGTAGGTTGGAAGTTAGAGCCGAAAGTGCCTTAAACTTAGTTGAAAAGGGACGTTCAGGGGGTGAAAATGCAAAACAACCCCGAACTACTGTATGGATGTCACGGTCAGCTTCCTTGTGACAAATAGGACATGTGGCAACTAACGGCATGTAATTAGCACTCATAGGTTGGGAGTTAGAGCTGAAAATGTCTTGAATTTAGTCAAAAAAAAGGCATTTAGAGGGTAGATGCAAAATAGCCTCCAAACCACTATATGGGTGTCACGGCCAGCTTCCTCGTGACAAATAGGGCCTGTAGCAACTGACAGCATGTAATTAGCACTCATAAGTTAGGAGTTAGAGCTGAAAACGCTTTAAACTTAACCGAAAAGGCATTCGGAGGGCAAAAATGTAAAATAGACCCGAACCACTGTATGGATGTCACGGGCAACATCCTTGTGACAAATAAGACTTGTGGCAATCGACGGTATGTAATTACCATGTGTAGGTTGGGAGTTAGAGTCGAAAACGCTTTAAACTTAGTCGAAAAAGGTTGTTCGGGAGGGGAGGTGAAAATGCAAAACAGCCCCCGAACCATTGCATGGATGATTTACTGCATTGGTGAACTTGGAAACATAACCAATTAATTATTCAAGATGGAAGATGAACTATCTGGCTCGACTGACATCAAGGGGTTTAAAAATTGAAGTTCTTCTTGTAGGTTTAAGATTGGAAGAACCCCCTAGGTTACTCTTTTCATTTATTGTGACTAGGAAAATGGGAAAGACGAAGAGGTAAAATAAAATTGCAACAAAAACATTCTAGCAATAAGCATTTCTTTTATGAAGAGAAATGAAACCTAAAAAATGTATTTGCTTAAATTGAAATCAAGTTACATAGTGAATCCTTAGCAGATATAATCTTAGATAACTCCTTGAATTGGGTTATAAGGCTTTGTTGCTATGCTCAGAATGGCATGTTGATGAACACTCCTAAGTGCTTTGAATATTGTTGTTTGTGTACTTGTTGAAAGTGATCCATGGCTAATGTTATTAATTTAGACACTTCCCTTTTGTTCTTGAATTTTAGATCATTTTGATGTGAAGCATTTGTTTCTTGGGTTTCATCATTTTGTTTCTATGATGTTCCATACATGTCAAGGGCCTATTCAGTACGTGAAATATTTACAAATCTATGTCGATCTGTTCAAGTTTGAATGTTTCTACAGTTGCCTGGAATAAATCTTTCATGATACATATATATGATTTTATTTCCAAAAAGACATTTCTAGGTTGCTACCCTAAATGCATGTTAAAACCTTTTTTTGCATGTCTAAATCAACTGATATTTTCTATGGCAATTAGTGCTGCTACTTGTTTCCATACTTCTGCTATTTTTAAAAAAATGTATACAAAATGTCATCTTTTCAATGAACACTTGAACTATGTCTAAGAGTATAATAATAGTTTAATTCACTCGCCATAACTGATATTTTTGCCTTAGACTATCAAGTTCTGCATGCATTTCTAGTACTAATGGGTGTAATTTTTTTTTTAGATGGCTTTTGGCGTGGATTTGTGGATAATCCATTTTTGTGTATAGAGGACAATTTACACTTTTGTATAATCCTCCTCTGCTTTGTGTGGATTAATACTACTCATACAAATAACTTTTGGCATCGAACTGATAATTGCTGGCGTGGTATATAGATTACATTTTGTCGTGGTACAAATTACTACATCAAATGGCCATTTGGTGTGGTAGTAAATATATTTTTTGTATACGAAGGGCTTGATTTTTGTATGATTCTCTGTTTGTATGGAATTATTATTTTAGTTTGGACTATAGTTGGTTCGTATGGAATTTGACATTTAAAGTTATTCCTTTTTGGATGGTTGGAAGTGAAATGGATGTAGATTGTAGAATGATTGATAATGTATGTATTGTTTTGTTTATATGCATACTACATATTGCACATAATACATACAGGTTGTGGACAAATTAAAATTTTGAAAAAAAAAAAACATAAAATCATGTTTTTGGTGACTAAACAATTCGTAGCAAAAAAGGAAGTACATATTTTAGCGACTAAATAGTTAGTAGCTAAAAAAAAGAAGAAAATGAAAAAAAAAAATAGTGACTAAAAGTTTAGTAGCCAAAAAACAATAAGACTTTAAGCGACTAAAATATTTAGTAGTGTAAAAGAAAATAAGATGAACAATAAAAAAAAATTTGGCGATTAAAAGTTTAGTAGTAGAAAATAATTAAACTTCAGGTGACTAAAATATTTAGTCTAAAAAAAAAAAAGATGAACAAAAAAAATATTTTTGGCGACTAAAAGTTTAGTAGTAAAAAATAAATTAGACTTCACCGGAATAAAAAGTTTAGTAGCTAAAAGAATTAGGATGAACAAAAAAAATATTTGGCAACTACAACTTTAGTCGTTATAAATAATTGAAGTTTTTCCCGACAACAAGTTTTAGTCGCTGAACATGTAATATTTAATTTTATTTCAATGCTTTTGGCGACTAAAAAATTAATTGGCAATTTAGTACTTTTGGCGACTAAACTTTTTTTGTCGCCAATTACCTTTCCCGATAATTCTTCAACGACTAATCTGGCAACCAAAAATTTTGGCCGCTAAAACCTTCGACGACTAAAACTTAACTTTTTGGCGACTAAAACCAAAAGTGTCATTTGTTGCAGTGAACATATAAAGGTTCAGAGTTGACATAATCTAAGAAATGCAACTTTGTTTACAGAGCTTTGAGTTTTTCTCATATTGATCTTAAGAGAGTTAACTTAAGTATCAGAGTGGTTTTTTGGCACACACCCACTGGTAAGCTCATCTGAATTTTGAACGCAGGTCTTACGATGTCGTTTCAAGCGATTCAAGCTTGATCAAAAGAAACACGAGTGTGAAGAATATTTTGTGCTCATATAGTACTATTATGAAGACATATGCATCATTTTAAGAGTAAACGTTACGTGATAGGTCATAATCGAAATTCATAATAATCGTAACTGGAACATATTATATACACGCAAAAAAAAAAAAAAAATGCGTATCGTAAATTTAATCAATGACAACCCATATAAATTTTTGTTATAAAGTATAAAAGAAGTGCGTCATTAGCAATAGTATGAAGAAAGAAGTTGGTTTTTAAATGATTATATATCATGAAAATAAGAAAACTCTATTTTATTACCTTCTTCTTGGGGCAGAGCTCCGTTTGGAGTGTAATAGGCGATTGTTTTGCAAGTCAGCGCCGAATGCAGCAAGACAGAACATAACAACCTGCATAGTAACAGATGTTCTTTCATCTCTCTCTCTCTCTCTCACAAAAACAGGTAATGGAGTTAATGATATGGAATTTGTCAGAAAACAGTTAGAGAGAGAGAGAGCAAGAAGTAGAAGAACAAAGGCTTGAGAGAGGAACGAAGCTGGGAATTAAACTTACTGCCTTTATTCAATAGTTACCACGCTATTTATAAGCCAAGTCAGAACACTAACTACAAAAGATAATGCAAAAAGATGTGGTAGATCGTGGAAAAAGTGGTGGCAATTATGTGCTGAAAAGAATGAAAACAAACCACCACTAATGTAACTTGTGCTGATAGTAATGAAAGCAAACTATGACTAAGCCTATTTCTAAGGCAGTATATTCTCTAAGTCCACTTCCACCTAGATCATGGGTGTAAGCATGGGATAATGGGTGATGTTTGTGGTATTTTATAATTATTTGAAAAGCAATTAGGTAAGGCTGCTTTATATCCTTTAACTTTTAAAAGGAGATTCCGATTATGAACCTATCAAGAAGCATCAAATAAAAATAAATAAATAAATAAAACCTCTTTCTTGGAAACACCACCCAAAATTCTAAGTTTTAAAAGTGCTGAAAAATGATATTCATAGAAAATTTTTGACAAAAATAATATACACTGACATACATGTATTTTTATATATATATAAACCACATCAATGGCTCTTTTGATTTGAATGACAATATCAGCAATTACCATTTTATTCTGTATTAATATTACGTACTACTCTTTTCAATATGATTTGGAAAATTGCATAGTTGTCCTCTAAAATTATAATTATAGTTATAAAATGGTGTACACCATAGGCTTTCCCGTGAAGGATCTTACTTGTATATAACGTTTGTAATATAGATTCACCTAAAATGTAGGGGAAAAAAAGGGGTAAACTACACTCACTTTCCTTAGAAAAAATACAATTAGTCCTATATTTTTGACATAATTATATCGGCCTACATTGATATTTTAATTCACACATGTGGACCCCTTTTCATGAGTAATTCATGAATTGTACGAATGAAAAGATGATATTGTCGTATATTTTTAACTAACATATATATATGCATATATATAACTTTATTTAGTTTATTATCTATCTACCATTTGTATTAATTTTAATTACTTTAACCTTACTAAATGAAGGTTAATATAATTATATCAAATTTATAGAGCTAATTATATTTTTTGTTAAACATCATGGGAGGTTAGTGTAATTTACCCCTCCCTTCCCCTCCCCTTGCCCCTCCCCCTTAGTGTAACTCTATTATAAATTTTTGTAATATTAATAACAAAATGTGTAACCTCATTATAAATTAGCATAACAAAATATTTGAAATTTTTTGGTTCATGTTACAAAAGTTTATAGTTTGGTTACGACATTTTTTGTTATGCCAATTTGAGACGAGATTCTACATTTTATGATTGATATTACAGAATTTTATGATAAAATTACACTAATTTGTATTAAGGTGCATATAATATACACCCGTAAAGGGGTGGACACCACAGAGTTTCCATTCATGTTCAAAATACATTAACTTATTCCCATTAATTTGATATTTCCTCCTTGTTAATTAGGTTTTTAAAAATTGGGAAGTTGGCCAAGTGATATTTGTATCCCTATGATGGTGAGAAAGTCAAAAATTCAAAATTAAAATTGATAAAACGACAGCATTTCTTTTATTGTAATTGAATTATTATAAATAACTAACATCTAATTGCTTACCTGCAAAAAGAAAAAAAAAACAAAACAAAACAAAAAAACAAAAAAATTGTTGAAAACGCTCCAACTCCCCGCAACCTTGCTGTTTCCAACCTAGGTACAAGAAAGTAATTTTGTCACTGATGACTCTTGTTGACCCCCAGACTCAGATCCAAAAAACCAATCTTATTATACTTATTATTTTCCTTTCTAATTTTTTACATTTCCAGTCTTACATTTCCTGTTCTTTACATTTCTATGCTTTAAATTCCTGCACTGCACTTCGTTCATAGGAGTAGTTTCAAGTAGATTGTTGCTATAAACCTCTACGAGGCTGAGTTTGGATCATTGTAAGTTTTTCATTTTAATGAAATGCTTCAACTGTTTTTCATTTAATTGTCATTTTGCTTAATTCTCCTAAATCAAGCCACCAGTAAAAGTCCTCTTCAGTGAGGCTGAAAGAACTAAAACACAATCATCTGATAATTGGTTGGCAATTAATTTTCTGTAAGGACTGATTGATCTTCAATTAGTCCCACTAGGCGTGCCAAAAATATATGTTGGCTTTTTGGCTTTCGAAGGTTATTATTGTAATTGCGAACATGTCAACAAGGATCAATCAGTCCTTACAGAAAATTAATTGCCAACCAATTATCAGATGATTGTGTTTAGTTTTTTCAGCCTCACTGAAAATGACTTTTACTGGTGGCTTGATTTAGGAAAATTAAGCAAAATGACAATTAAATGAAGAATAGTTGAAGCATTTCATTAAAATGAAAAACTTACAATGATCCAAACTCAGCCTCGTAGAGGTTTACAACAACAATCTACTTGAAACTACTCCTATGAACGAAGTGCAGTGTAGGAATTTAAAACACAGGAATGTAAAGAACAGAAAATGTAAGAGTGGAAATGTAAAAAACTGGAAAGAAAAATAATAAGTATAATAAGACTGGTTTTTTGGATCTGAGTCTGGGGTTCTTTTTCTGGGCCTTCTCTGCTATTTATACTTTTCAAGGATGACCATCGAACTGTATTTCCAACCGTCGAACTGCTCCTCCATGATCGCTGATCATGTTGCCTTATAATTAGCTCCACTATGCCATCACTTGCAGTTAGGCTTCCCTCCTAAATTTGAATTCAAATGTGAGTAACCGTTGAAGTCACATCACCTTACATCTCTTTGTTGATCCACTGCTACTCAGATCTCGTAATAACCAATACTAACTGTCACGTGTACGATCAAGATCGAAAACTTGAATAGTCTTCTTGTATTACCCTTATTCTGCCATGAGTCGAATTGTAATTGGCTTGTACAAAATATGTAGCCAACATCACCCCCCGCACTAATATACCCAATACTTGGTGATATTAGTGGATCAAGGTCTTTTATCCACGTCTTAGAACGTGCATGGGCTTTGCATTCTTCCAAAAATGCAACTGTCATTCATTATCTACATTAAACTCTCCTTTAATCTTTTGAACACCCCCACCACCTTAGTATTCGAACAGACTGATACATTTTCTATGGCCGAATCAATTTTCTCCTCCATTGATCGAGCACACGAAGAGTCATCTGATGATGTTGATCCTTCTCGAAAAAACCTTCATGCATTAATTAGCCACCTTTACCCACCTTTCTATATTCAGGTCATGGATGCCTTTGTAAATTATCAACCCTTGGACTACGAACACATTGCCCTTAATCCTTTGATTCAGAAACTTACAAACATGGACCTGGGAAGTTCTTCTTCTGACTCACCCTTGGACTACGAACAAACTAATCTTAATCCTTTGATTCAGAAAGTCGCAAATACGGACATGGGAAGTTCTTCTTCACAACCCTCTGTATGGGGTAAGGCTACAGCTTCTTCTTTCTCTGGGGCTTCTAACTAGACAAGCTGGTCAAAACCTGAGGTCTGTGATTTACGGGAGCGAGTCAACCATCACTTTGTCGAGTTTACTGACCCTTTAGAGTTCCCTTCCTATGCGCGAAGCTCGGTGGTCTATCCTTACGTGCCCATCGACCGCTGGCGCAGTTTGAAAGAGAATCTGCTTGTAGCATGGCGCACATCCTCTATGCCTACAAAGATAGTGTACACTGCCCGACGCCCTAAAGAGGCACAAGGGTACAATCCATCGTTCTTAGCCCAGAAGGCGAAGCTTTGCTCTTCTGACTGGCTCGATTATATTAGTGCCTTTGTTCCTTTTGTCCTTGCTCTTCCTCCTGAAGTGGAGGATTCCATACCTTCTCCTCTGCCAACTCCTTGCTGGACAGAGAGACTGAGGCTTGCTCTTTTTGCGGATAAGGTCTTTCCTCCTTACAAGCCTCCACCTTCTCCTACTCCAGCTGAGCGGAAGCAAGCCCAACTTCTACTTGCGGCCTTCTCTTACTTGTCTTTCACTGTTTTTGAGGATGACATCCCTCTCAAGAACCTTCGATGGGCTTGTGACATTCTGACTCGGGGTCACATCCTCAACCCTCTTGCCCTAGCAGAGCTTCATATGTTTTTGGACCAACTTTCATTACTCCTCTACTGGCATCGGACCTCTGTGGCCACTACTCAATCTTTGGACCAACTCTCATCCCTTCGAGTTCACGCTCAGTACGAAGCAGAGAACTTCATCAAAAAATTCGAAAGCTTCAACAATAAAGATTCTACGTACTGGGATGACTTGGATATAGACGAGTTGGAACAAGAATTGAGAGAAACAGCATTCGAAATAAAGGCTAAAGAGCTCTTTTATGAAGTGAGAGCACATCAACTTATGCAACCAATCTCCCTCATGCTTGTTAGGTAAGGCTGAAGAGCTCTTTTATGAAGTGAGAGCACATCAACTTATGCAGCCAATCCTAGAAGAAATAGAAAATAGAATAAAGAAAGAACAAAAATTCATTAATCATAGTTGGACCAAATTTCATGATCTTGTTATTTATTCTGTTCCCTACTTTTATGAGCTTGAATTTGTACCTAAAGAGGGCCATTCAATGTAATTGATTTTGCTTTAATACAACTAAGACTTTTCTTTGTTCGACATTGTTTCATCTTGTCTCCATTTGTCTTTAAAAGCAAATCTAGGGCTTCGAACTGGACAATCTTATCCTTCGAATCCGGACTCAATCGTTTTAAATGAAACACTAAAAAAACCAACATGAACTTTTCCAATTTATGGAATAAAGTTGACAGTTTTGCTGATTTTTTCATTTAAAATCAGTGCTTCGAATTTTAACAATCTTACCCCTTAAAGCTTGTTCTAATCATAACCAACATATGATCATGGTTAGTATGATCAATCAATTTTAAATTGACCTTCTTTCCTTCGAATAACAGTCCATACTTTCAAAATATGGAAGCTCCTTTTAAGGGCTGCACTGTGTTAGTTCGAAAAGACAATCTCTTTCTGTATATATATATATATATATATATAAACCAACTAATGGTTTTGATGCTTCAAACAACAATTCCCATCCTTAAGGGGTCTCGAGTTTTGCTTCGAAGGACATTACTCTCATTTAAGAAACCTAAAACAGGTCTTTCCCTTTGAAGTAAACAAATACTTGAGCATTTTTACATCCTTAGGTATGGAATGTGCTTCGAAATCGGCTTCTCTGTTTCGAAGCCGTTGTTATTTGACTTTTGGCGCCAAAATCTGGTTTCGAAGCCAAATATTTTACTTCGA